CCACGTCACCCTCAGGTGAAATGGAGCCCTTTCATCTAGCAGGGCTTTGGGGACCATAGCTGGGCTGGGTTGGGCTCATGGTCTTTTCCCTCTTTTCTTGCTAGAGATCCGCCAGAAGGGCTTACGGGAGGCTCCCGCCCGACCACTCCACCTCTATGACACTCCCTACGAGCCTGTGCTTGGGGGGCTGGACATGGACGGTGACCGCCTGGCTTGCCCCAGGCCCAGGGAGTCCCGGTTGCCCGAGGATGACGAGCGGCCACCGGAGGAGTACGACCAGCCCTGGGAGTGGAAGAAGGAGCGGATCTCCAAAGCGTTTGCAGGTGAGTGATGGGAGCACCCTTAAAGGATGGATAGCAACCATAAAGCAACCGATGCTGTGCTGCATTGTGCACAGGGGGAAGCTGGTCCTTGGGGTTCCTTCATCTTTTGGGGGTCAGTAGTGTTGGTGTCTGTGGTTTTGTGTCTTGGGGAGCGCACGTGCTCTTGCAGAGGCTGTTTCTCTTCAGCAGGGAGCCAGGCTGGGTGGCGTGGTGGATGGAGCTGCCTTGGCAGCCTGTCCAGTGCCCGTCTCTTGTTGCCTCTTCCCTCCCATGCCTGATCACAGCCTCCAGTGCAAGTTAACCCCCACAACCTCGAACTGCAGGGGAGAGGCTCGACCTGGGGCTCAAGCAGATCCCTCCTTCCTTGGGGCAGGAGGAGAGCTGAGCACTTCCCCAGGAACCTTTGTCCAGGCGATCATCTGTCCCCCTGACCTATTTATCTGTGCTGTGGGATCGATTGTGTTTGTGTTTGTTAATGAGGAAATCCATGCTGTGCATTAGCGCTGGCTCCTCCGCTGGTGCTGGCTAATTGCCACACTCTTATCTAGGTTGCATTTTAATTGCAGCAGTGCAGCCGGTGCACACAAGGCGCTCGAGCTGCTGGTTGTTGGTGCCACGGAGGATGCTGGCAGAGAGAGACGTGAAGATTTGGGCTTTGGAGTGGTTCACCCTTTGGGTTTTGTCTCTGTAATCTGGAGATGCGCGTGCTGGGCTCGATGCCGTGGCGTCTGCTCGTGCCTAGGGTTGCGCTCATGCTGCTGGGACTCGGCTGGGCACGGGGCTGGTGCCCGTGGCACGCTGTGCCAAGGATTCAGCTTGTCGGGCTCTCTTATGAAGCACAGTGTGCTGCTGGGCTGGGTTTGTGCTGAGGTCTCTGTGCTCTGGCTGAGCCACCTTGCTCGATGTTCCTGGGTGCAGGCGGTGTGTTCACAGGTCCGGCTTGTGCGCAGGTGCACGTAGGCACTCCCCAGGGCGCTTCAGGCTTGCTCCGAGCCCTGAGGGAGTCAGGTTGCCGTGTTCTGGGCCACGTTAGGACCCACTGCCTGTCTTCTCCTGGAGCCAGAGCAGGTCCTGCTGTGGTTCATGGGGCATTTCTCCTCTCCTGCAGTGCCCGGATCTCTCTGATGGCCCTTTTCCCCTTTGGGGGGGCTTGTGAGACCCCATGCTGATGGGCACTGGGTATGAGGCAGCAACCCACTGCCACCTGGTAGGGGAACGCAGACCTGCTGGGTGGCCAGGAAGAGCCCGGAGCAAGACAGATGCACGGGCAGGTCAGATGGCAATGGGATGCTCAGCCAAGGTCCCCCGGATGGATGTGCACATGAGACGGGGGTGATTGCAGGCTCCCCCCAACCCCAGAGAGGGTCGGCTGGGAAAGCTGATGGAGGAACGGGATCTCTTGCTGCCAGGGAAGGGATGAGTTGGTCAAGCCAGCATAGTGCTCCCAGGAATTTACTCCTCATGTCTTTCCCCCTACAACTGCTCTCCTTCTCTGTGGGCTCGGTGTTGCTGACGTTTTTTTTCTAAGCCCTTTCTTTCTCTCTTTCTCTTTCTCTCTCTTTTTCTCACCCCACCTCCCATCCAGTTGAAATCAAGGTCATTAAAGACCTGCCATGGCCACCGCCGGTGGGACAACTCGACAGCGGTGAAAGCCCCCCGGACGGTGAGGGCGGGGCCTCTGGCCC